TTTTGATTACAGTTTGAACTGTTTTTTAGTTGTAATATGATTTATATTCATTATTTATAGTTAACCAAAAATAAAAGGTCTAATGAAGATACTCACAAGCTCATTAGGAAGGTTATCCATATCAACACCTAACACCAGTTCTATCAACATTTTGAACATCAGTGCTAACTAAATCAGGATCATTAATTTATACTCTCTAAGGAAATGTAGCAAGATCTAGGAGTGTTTGAATCAACTGGGATGCTTGGATATTGGTGGTGTTTCTACCAGCAAATCTGAACATCTCAGTCACTTAAAAAACATCCCTACTAAGTTTGGTAAAAACATCAAAATTTATTACTTGTATTAGGTAAAGAATTGTGAGTAAAATAAATCTTTTCACAAAAGGCAATAAGATAAAAACCTGTCAATTTTTTTATTTTATCTCTATTTTACAAGTGGAAATACAATACTTAAATTAATGGCCCAACATACTGTTATAGCTTCAAACAAATCATATACATAAATTATTACTTCCATATTGTTTTTGTTTGTTAATGGTTATTGATAATTATAATTAGATAATTACTGTTTTTAGCTGTTTCTATGAATCACAAGTGGCAAAAAACAATTAACAGAACCATATTTTGTAATCTGATCAAATTCATTTCAGCCTTAGTTTCATGTGAAATTACCCAAACATACAAAAAAAATTCTCACTTCTTTATTGTCATTTCAAGACTCCAAGTTCATGTAAACATGAAATTTATCTTGATCAGCTGTCAGTTATAAGTTTTATTGTATAATATCAATGGTAAGGTGCAAAGTAGGTTGAAGCATTCTAACATGATCTTTTGTTTCTTTTCGACACAAGTAGGTCTAAGATACTCTAACAAAAAATTAAGTGTAGCAGCATTTGGGAGTCCAGTATAATATTGGCATTGTCATCACTATTCACCATGTCCTCCACAGTAAAAATTTGATTATAACAGCTCATCCTTTTCTTTTGTAAATCTTAATTTTGCATAATAGTTCTTGTATCACTTTCTGGTGTTGTTTAGAATTAACTTGAGTAAGGTTTGCTGAGACCCTTGTAAACATATGAGCTTGTGTACTTTTTCTCTCTACACTAACAGTTTAGTTTGTTTTGCTGCTGAATTTTTTGTTGTAGAATATTGATGCCTCAAGTGTCTGATCAAATGAGCTTTTCGTTCTGTGTTTCAGAAATTTTATATTTTAGAAAAGTTGGCAAAATCCAATATTTATGGTAGTCATGATCAGGTACACATGTCAGTATTAAAAAGGTGTTACATACCAAATCTACCATGGTCTGATGTTCTACTCATCTCTATCTCATTTTCAACATTACGAATGTCTATTGGATAAACAAGTTTACCAACTTTACCAGATTGAACAGCTTTTAAAATCTATAGCAAACTTACTAGCTTGAGATTTTCTCTTTGGTGTCTGGATCTGAGATGAAACAATAGGTAGGTTCACACATCGTATTTACTCCTGATTATGATTCAGTAAGACATCAAAATATGTAAAGTGTATCAGACTGTTCCCAGTCTTATAGTATTTTATCTTTATACAATAAAATGATTAAGAAAAACATTTTTTATTGTATTTTGAGACTGGAGACAATCTTGTTTTAAAATATTTATTGGGTATTATTAAACATTAGCTTTATTTCTTTAATATATCTGTATGAGTAGGATCTCCACTTTTTCTCCCAGTCAGATACATAGTATTTTTGGTCACAACAAACTTACTTGTACCAGCAAGTGACTGACCTTTAGCACGAACCCAAGCATTTTTTCATGAAACTGGTCCTACTACAATCAACCACAGAACAATAATTATGGCTTCCCATTATTCATTCATAACAATCAAATAAATTATTGTGGGATTATTTTTGACAAAAATTAATGCTAGTTGTAAACAGGTTAATCAATCAAAGTGGCACCTTATTTAAACAGGTAAACAAGTTGAGCATATGATTACTATGGTTCAATAATAGCCCCCAGTTAATAAACTATTGTAAGTTATCGTGTGATTTTGTAGGTAGACAATATAAGTTGCACATGTGCAGTATTTTGCAAAAATAGAGTATTAAAAGTGAATTAGCATTAATTTCTTATCAAAGCAAGACAACCTACATAGATCAGAATTAAAAATTAACCCAGTATTTGTGGCAATAATCCCAATATTTCAAGTGGATAGTCTTAAATCCATATACTAAGCTAAAAAATGTGAAAAATTATCCACATCATGACAATATATAATAAAAATAATAAATATATTAACATATTAAAAATATTAACTGTACTAATGGAGCTAAAATTAAAGAATAATAGAATATAACTTATAAAACACATCAAAATTAATGGTAAAGAATCATCCCCATATGGCTTGCATAATCTTCAAAATCCAAAAAGTAGAATGACAGCAATAGTGTGCTGTGCAATGAGTAGTTCAAATGGAACTGAAGAAAAGGCAGGTGTGAAGTTATCGCTTGACAAGATGCTGATGGAAAATTCTAGTATCTCTCAAACAGTGAGGAAACTACAGGGATAGAATTAGGAGGGATCTCTTGTAGGTACCAGAGTAAACAAATCCATGGACATGCTAGTTAGAGAGGAACTATCAGCAAAACCCATCAACAGAGGTAAACCTTGCAAATAACTTGAAATACTAGATGTACTTGTATATGGTCCCCGAAAGTGTTCTGTTTCAAGAGTAACTAAAACTTAAATTAAGAGTAGCAAATATTTTTCATTTCTTACTTTTGAAGTTCGTATGTCCTGATGTAGCCTACAGAGTGCATAATTCTTCTCATGATTCATGGGATCTGCATGTTTTACTGACATCACAACTGTATAATCTGCAATGTTAAGCATCCCTTTTGTGATGTCATTTTAGTGTCTACTGACTGACTGGCAAATAACACACTACTGTATAGTGGTGCAAGTGGTTAAAACAAATGACACCTTCAAGCAGCTTTCAGGGAAATAAACTGCATCGGAGGAAAGACATACAGGTTTAAAGAAGATACCCATTCTGAGAGATGGTGGATCCAGAACATGAGACTGGAATAAAGTTGTGGTGAGTAAACTTACTAGCAAAAGCTTTTACCATGCAATTACCAGAAAGCTAATGCAACCTTCAAAAGGTACAAGAATGAAAAGAAGATTCTTTCATTAAAATCTGTATCTGGGGGAGAGATTTGATCTAACAGAAAATTAAAAGCTCCTTGAATATGGTCTGCAAGATGACTTGGAAGCATTGTGCCCAAATGAGGCTACTTGCTTTCAAGCACAGGGCATAACAATGAGAATCCTTTGTCAAAATTGACTATCACTGTGCAGTTGTCTCAGCAAATCATAACCAGCTCAGCTTGGAGGAAAGACAGAACAAAGAAGTGGTACATTCTATAGCGTGCTCACATCTTCTTGACATGTCAATGTGCAGAAAGAGTATCCAACTTGGTTGGAAATCAAGTCTTGAACAATGTTGCTCTTGCAACATAGCTTTCTACAAAGTGTAAAAGTGCTCATGAACAGATTAAAGCAAATATTGGCAGTGAAAGACCCTGAGTCATGTGTTTGTTATCAAGCTACAAAACAAGGGAACTCCTTGGTTGTTGGTGAGATTGAAATTAGAACAGGCTGTCATTGAAATTCTTCCTCTGAAAAGCCAAGTCTCACTTTAGAGCTCTCAGGTGATCTGACACTAGGGAGACATATAGGGTGATTGCAATAAGATAACCAATAGAAAATAAAACCAACACAAAGCTGAAAAGACAGTTTTATGGACTACATCATGAACAAGAGGTGTCAAAGCAATCAAATGGCTTGAAGGAATCTGTGAATGTCCTAAATATATGCCTATTAGGGCCACAAAATGAATAAGATATTAATCAAACCATAGATATGATTTTGCCATCTTAAACAATAAATCTGTTTCCCCAATCAAGTATAAGGTCCCCTTGAATGACCCCAAGACCCTGATCTTCAGTAAGAGACAATATCAGCAGAATCAATTGACCCCAACCTGAACTATGTAGAACTAACCCTTCTTTGTGATCCAGAAAAAGATACTACTTTTATTCACTTGTTGAACCTACTTGCAGAAATGAAGAGATCAGAAGTTCTTTGGTATTTAGATAACTATCAGCAGAAGATTAAAAACTGGGAAGCACACAGCAGTTATGTTGCAAATATTCCTTGAAGGTACGATACATATCAATCTTTTTCGGTACCAGTACATACAACAATTAACATTCTGTAAACTGAATGTGGAACAAAATGAGTATTTTTTTCTATGACTTTCATATGGGGCATAATTTGCAATACTTATCTCTAGTTTAAAATTTATTATCAGACAACCGCTTTAGTTATTGCGATTAACTATTTCAGAATATTCAATTACTTTAAGAAAACAAAAAGTGGTAGGATCCAACTCTTGATTCCAGTGAGATGAGAAATAAGGATCAATGTTTTTATCTCTGATCAATTATCCATTTGCCAAGTCATGGGGTTGTCTTTACAACAATATAGAACAGTTGGCAATGATAATGGACTCCGTTCTATTCAACATTTTAAAATTCCTGCAATAAAACAGAGTAAAAGACAAAGTGAGAATAAGCCACCAAGATAATTTCTGAATATGTTTTGTTGAACATAATCTAACCACCACCACTAGTATACCTGTTTGATGATGTCACAGTTCTTCAGCCAGAAATGGAACCAATTTTCATTGATGATAATTTTTCACATATCCCAGTCATTTAGGCACCAAACGGAATGGAGCATTTCTTTGATGGTTTAATGTTAAGCTGTCCAGTGAACAAGATCAGGTAAAGTTTTGTTTGATGACTTAGATAATGGATTAAGTTTCTTACAGTTTGAAGCATATATGGATTTGTTTTGATGGACAAAAATGGCATGATTCAATATTTTAAGTATTTCAGTAGCTAATTGTCAAATGTAAAATAATGAAATATATTCATTTTGCAGGGTTCTCACTAGGGTCCCACAGTGAAGTGTCCAAAACTCTCAACTGTTTTTGTTTTCAAGAGTCCCAATGAGATTTTCAAGGGTCCCATAGGTAGGATTTAATAAACTCAAAAAAAGAAAAGAAAAAAGAGCATGTTAATGTTCAATGAAAAACTTTATTTACAATTTACACTGCATGTTGTTTTCCTTTATGATTTTTTATCAGTGTTAAAGAAGTTAATTGCACTTTCATGCTCAACAAAAAACTATTATTTATAAGGTACACTACACGTTGCTTACCCTCAGCAAGTGCTAAAGTAGGACAATATGCAAGAGGATAAAATTAACAGCATTTCCAATAAACATGAAAACATCTTCTTCTTTTAAGGCAGTACTACCTAAAAGTGTCTACTTGATTTCTTATTTACCTTTATTATTTGTTTTGGTCTAATTAACATGTTGTTTATAAACAAATTATTGTAAGAACTTCCTTGTGTACCAGCTACTAAACTTTGACATCTTACAAATTATTTTCAAGCAGAAAATAAAGAACTACCATGAAGAATGTAAAATTAAAACTACTTGTCATTTATCTCTAAAATATGTGCATAACTCAAGGAATATGAAAACACTGTCATATAACAGACAAGATTTTATATTGCTTTTGGAGGATAACATTTAACTCTATATGAGACCAACCTCATAACCACCATAACAAAATGTGGAAATAATTCTAAATTTCCCCCCATTTTCTTTCTAGAATAACTGCAAATTATAACAGAAAACCACAATTGTTTATGCTAAGTAGCTTAGAGCTAGTAACAGTATATATATATATATATATTTATACATAAATTTTATTATTTTATCGCCCTTTGAACTGTGTCAAACTAATATTTGCAGCATATAAGTTGCATATCATGTGGGGAATGTACAGCTCACATTACGGTACTGAATTACATAATGCACCAAAGAACACAGAATAATAACATACAAAAAGGAAACAATGTTCCATAACTATCACAATTTGTCTGGCTTTCTGACTATGCGACATTTGCCATTAAAAATTCAGCTAAACTCATCAATGTGTTTCTTGTGGGAATAAAGTTTGAACTGGAAGGAAAATATACAATTCTCTGTACAGAAAACAATGTAATATAATACATCATTTGACAGAGAAAAACTTTGGCTTTCTGTTGGTTTTAATAGTCTTAAATGTCAAAGAGAACTATTATCAAGTTCCGAAAGTAGGCAAGAGGGTGTCTGATTTTCTATTTCATTATTACTCTGTAACTAAATAAGATTGAAGGCTATGTAAATTATGCTTTAACTGAGCAATGACATTATAGTGAGTAATTTACATTAAATTTCATACTTCTCTGAGGGGTGGTAAAAAATTAGAGAAGAGGGAAGACATAGATAACAAATGTCACAGTTCTCATACTAGGGAAGACTGAGAATTTTGAAAATATTATCTTATAAAATTAAGAACTCAAAACTTAAATAATACTAAACTTTTTTATTATCTATGTTCTGATACCAATTTTATTCATATACACTGATAATAAAGTAGTTTAATTAAATTTTGAATGTAACTCTGTGAAAGGTTGTAACATGCACACTTTGACCTACCCAAGGTGAATGGGTTAATCATGAGGTACTACTTTCATGTGGCTTTATTTTCATGCAATTTATTGTCACTGATGAAACCTGTTAGAAGTTTATTGTTGACAGCTATTTGCAAACTGTATGCTGTTTAGTTTGTTATAGTACAAAGTTCAAAGCAAAGTAACTTGTGTTTGCCTTTCATACGGGGAATTTTGCAGTGTGTATTCAGTACTTGGGGGGTCACATCTCATGCTACACAACAAATTCTCGCGTGTATGGGACCCAGGCATTTGGGTTAACTAGAACCCTGTTCATTTTTCTTAATTTGTTCAATTGGGGACCAATATTAGGGTTTCATAAACTAACAAAAAAAGTGTGAATGTAAAATGTTCGTTACGTTTTAGATATCATCCTGAAAGACCTAAATCATTAGCTGTTATTGTTTGGTGGGTTTCTGATGATCAAGACCCAACTGTATTGATGACAAATGGTGCATGTGTTTTTACATTAATATAATGTAAGTTGAAATTTGACCACATAAGTCAGCAGATATTTTTATTCCAACACCATTTCTTCAAAATGGGTGTAATTGTACCACCACATGGTATTCAAGCAGCATATTATCAACTTACATTGAATGCATCTGCTGATCAAAAGAGCGCTACTGATGAGCAAACAAGTTTGTCAGCCAATCTAGAATTGCTAATTGATTTTGGTCATGCAAAACATTCAAAACTTCCTTTATTCAAAGGCAGGCTTAGTTGTTCACTGCAGCCGGCAAATGATAAAATAACATTGCCCACTTCTCTCAGTATATGTAAGCCAGAGACGATTGAACAAATGGGAAAACTTTGTACTAAGGGTACAGAGATACCTAGTGAATCTGCTATTTTGTTTGCATTGTGCAAAAGAAGTTTTAAGTCAGAGCATCAAACTTTACAAAGGTAAAATGCAATGTAAAGTTCAAACATAACTATGTGCATCACATCAAAATTACCACTATTGTGCAGCCCAGTTCATGGATATGCACAAACTAGTTTTTAAATATTGAGATGTGTATTTGTGTTGACGGCAACTCCTAGCATTATCGTCTGGTGTCAATTGTAAATGTTAATTCAAAAGGTTGAATAACACTATAAGTTTGTTTAAATATTGACATTCTGGAGAGTGATACAAGTTTTTATAAAGGACAGGTGACAGTCTTGGATTCAATCTTCCAACAAATTTATTTATTTCATCATGCTACTGAGTTAAAGGATATTCTAGTACTTAATGGCATCATATCACTGTTGATTACATAATTTATCATGGAGTTAAGATGTCTTTGATTAGTTTATTGAAGGAGTTGGATCTAGACACATTAATTGCTGGTATAAATGCAACTGTTCACTGTTAGACTAATCCAGCAGAGCTTATTATGTCTCTCCTCAAGCTTGCATATCAAAATATCTCAGTATTGTATGAAATAATGATGTTGTGTTTTTTATTTCCTTACAGCCCATAAAATGAGAATGACAGTGTGGTTAATGTTGCATACTAAGTTGTATTTACAGAAAGAAGGGCATGACCACCCAAGAACAGTGCTCCCTGAAACAGATTCTAGAGAAATATGATGACATTTGCAGCTCCATCACCATATGAAAAAGTTATTTTCAGCTTTTTTAACCATTCAACAATTTTCAAACTGTCAACACTTTCAGCATGCATTCTAAGTGAAGGAAAAAGAATATTTTATTGTTATTTTTATTACAGGTGATGCACATCATGACACTGTACTTGTAAGAATATAGTTGGATTGCAGATCCCTCTGTGGAATTTCCATCCTATGCATCATCTCTGAGGATTCTAGACATACACTGTCAATGTGGAGAAAGTGAAGCCAAGTGTGATCAAGAACTGTTAAACAAGTTCAAAGTAGTATTACTAATTTGTCATGCCTTCAAAGAAAAGCCAGTTCCCAAAAGAAATTTTATTAATCAGTGAACTGTGTGCCTGTACATATCTTTGTTTGAATTTTAGCTGTGACTTGTTATTATCATGTACAGGTAAAATCCCTGTGTTTTTCTATAGTCTGAATAACATGTTTTCAATACTTATTAATGTTACAAGTCTGTTATTTTTTGTTCTTGTCTTACTGCAGGATTCTGTAAGCCTAAGTAACATGCATCAGTGCTGCTCTCAAGTCATCTTTTCTACCATATTTTGAACTGTACTTTTGCTGAGAAATGTTTGTAAACACCATGTGTTTTTATAATTAGGCTTCAAGTGTGGAGTATATTGTAATTTTATCATATGCAATATTAGTCAGATTATAATTACGACAATTTGTAGAAAGTAAAAGTCAGTATATTTATTTAAGTTACTTGAAGGTACACAACTGTTTCATAAAACAGATTTTAAAGTCTCAATTTTTGATGTGTAATTAAAAATATTTTTGAAATATCTCAATTGCAGAATTATTCAATATGCACTGTTGTTATATTATAATATAGTATATTTTATAAAGTCTTCACAGTGCAATTTGATACAAATATCACTGAGAAATATTTGGAATATATAATCATGTATTTTCAGGAATTGGTATAGTTAGTGAATACACCCAATAGGGAGTATCCCATTTCATATCTTCTTCAGAGAACTAGTAATGAAAAAGTTATTCCATTTAATTAAAATCACTATTCCTGTTCATGTTCAAAACTGTATATAACCTGCACACACACACATACCACCATTGCATTTTAACTATTTAGAGAAACACACAGATTTGAGCCAGTCTTTACAAATAACCCCTTATGTACAACACTGACCATTGCTTAAAATCAGTCTAAAAAATTAATTACTTCTATTTGTAACTACATTACAGTTTACA